ATCCGACGAATCACCGGTCCTTCTTTCCAATGCAATGAGGATCCCGACTCTAAGACCCCGTTTGGCAGGCATTTTGTTTCGGCTATTTTTATTTTTGGACTGCTACAGTATCGATTTTGAGAACAAAAACATGTTTGGTGCAGTCTTGTTTTATTTTACACAGTGCTAAAACACTTTGTGAACAATGATTCAAAACTAAAATACTAAAAAGTTATTTTTCCTTATTTTGATAACTGTTAATGATTCAAAACCATATTTTATATGTTTCTGTTTTTGACATTTTCATAATAAAATATCATTTCTAAACATATTTTAAAATTTTTTTTTTAAAGTAATCTTACAATAAAAAAATTTATTTTTATTTTAATTAAAAATAAAACGTTTAAAACAAAGCGGACGTCAAACCAACCCTCAAAAGTGTATCAAACTAGAAATTGGCCAAATACGGTGGCTTCGAAAGTTGGTGCACAAATCAAGCGGTCCTGATCGAGAATTAGCTTGCAGTGGTGAATAGAGGGCCCCACTGCACGTGGCACAAGATCAAGTGGTTGAATTCAAGTCTCCTCGTGGAGAAGGACCTCACTACAATACAAATTATGTACGAATACATCCCATTAAAGCATCATAATCTGTCACATGTGTCCATAAACATGATATTTTTCTCTTATGGTTCATAATCCCAACAAAGTTGTTGCAAAAAAAAAAAAAAAAAATTCATAGAAATTTCATTGGCACAAAGATTACCACATTATGTGTGTTGTGATCTTAGTTACAGAAGTTCCATTCCTTTTTTTAATCAAAATCATTTCAATTTTTTTACTGTGGGTAAATGAGTTTCACGTTTTTAATGGTAAAATTTCACTAAAATGCTGTCAATTAATGTGAATTATTCATATAAATACTTAAAAGGAGGAGACATGCTTTAACGCTTGTGAAATATTGATGACATATGATAATTACAAACTTATTAAATACAGGTATGTAATGAAATTCACTAAAATAAATATATTTTTATTTACGTGCTAAGAGAAGGAGTAAAATGGCTATTTCTAATTTTTTTTTTACAAAAATAATATACAGTAATTGTTTTTAACCACTACACAACAACTTGATGTGGCAATAATTGCTCTACATAAAAAAAAAAATGTTTTCATTCTTTTGGAAAGTTGACAAGAGTATTTATTGGATTCAATTTATTGATGTAATTACAAAAATCGATTAATCTTATTTCTAATATTACTTGTTTAATGAGAATTTTTTGTTATTTTTAAAAGCTGATAAGCGTCTTTATTAGACTATTTATTGACGCAACTACAATAATCGATTACTCTTATTTTTAATATTACCAATTTAACGAGAATTTGTTACTTTTAGAAGTGTTTTTATTGATCTCTATTTATTAACATAACAACAAAAACTGATTACTTTTATTTTTAATATTACTCATTTAATGAGAATTTTTTATAACTTTTAAAAGTTGACAAGGTCTTTATTGAACTCTATTTATTAAAAAAAAAAAAACGGATAATTTTATTTTTAATATTTACTCATTTAATGCCTATCACTAATTTTTGCCACATCATTAACATAATCATCTCTCTCTCAAAAGCTATATAAATATTCCATAATTGATTACTCTAAATGCTTGCTAATTAGAATATACCCCTTGGAGTGACATTTTGTTTTGTTTTCTTCTCTTGAAAAAGAAATATCATGATTATGATTAAGATGGTACTAGTGACAATACACTTACCAACCACTCAGATATTAACTACCATTCAAAGTATAATACGTTTTAATTGAAATGTGTCAAATTAAGGAGCTTAATATGTAACATGAATACACTTGAGTAATCCTTACAAATTTTATTTTCAACGAGTGATATTATTTGAGTCGATTTCTTCGGTTCGAAAATTATTATTCTTCGATAATTATTTGTCAAGATTTAATCAAAATTTATTTGTAATCGTGTTGACCAATCAACTTTATAAAATTTGATAGGATCTTTACAACCTTAAAGATTTGGACAGATCGAAATGTCCCAATGGAAGAACCAACATCATCAATTATGATGCTACCATTGACAATACGTAAACCAACCATTCAAAAATCAAATTACCATTCAACGTAAGTCTGGTTAGTTATTGTCAATGTGATTTTAAGATGACATTCCAAACATGTGCACTCCTTGAAATTTTTTTACACATTAGTACGATTTAATTTGCCCAAAAAATTGTTTTAAAAAAAAAAGAACAACTTTCACAACATCCCATTTACCATTTCCAAGATAGTTTGTGTGAGCCTGCAAAAACTACAATCAACAACAGTAAATAATTTTTTTTTTTCTCCATTTGTGTGATTAAAAGTGATTTTTTTTAAAATCAATGTTCACATGAATGAAACTATATATGATTCAAAATCTTTCACTAATCACCAAAACAATGGGATTAAACAAATTTTGTAACGACCCACTCCACTACATGATACAATATTATTTGTTTTGGACCTGAATTCGCACGGTTTTGCTCTTAGGTTTTACCTCAAAAAGTCTCATACCAATTGGAGATAACACACTTACATATAAGCACTTCACCTTTCCCTTTCCCAGGCTTGGAGGCCCGACGTCCTCGTCGGCACACTTCCGGTTGGATCAGGCTCTGGTACCATTTATAACGACTCACTTTACCATATGATACGATATTGTCCGTTGTGGGCCTGAGTCCGCATGGTTTTGCTCTTGAATTTTATCCCAAAAGGTTCACCCAGGTGATGTGAGATTGTGCACCCACAACTCGCCAGTGTGGTAACCTATCAATATCTTGCACCCGCCAACAAGTTCATCACAAATTTTCTCTTTCTAGATACACTTGGACAAAATTAATTTGGGATCGCACAAAAGATTTGTCACTTAAAGGTGAACTCCAACAACAATATTTAACAAAGAAAAGCCTAGCTTTCAATTAATTTGTAAAAAGATTATTCAAAATTAAACGATGCGGAGATTAAAACAATGATTTGAATTGGTAGATTTATAAAAATTGATTTAGGCAATTAACACAAAAAATATACACTATTCCGAGGGTAGCGGTTATTGAATACACCCGGCAATAAAAATATCCCATATACTTTAATACAAGTCATAGGAAATGAGGTGTTTAATTGGCCGGAGGTATTATTCAATATAATCCTACTTAAAACTATACCCTCAAGTCTCAACAACATAGGAATCTGATACAAATCTTCCAATACAGTTTAAAAAAAAAAAAAAAAAACCAAACAAAACAAGACACGAGACTGTATCTCATAAAAATAAAATAAAATAAAAAATCTCATTTTAATTATTTATTATGTTGCGAAAATATTGTTTACATAGGTTTTCTATCTTTGGACATTCTAAAAGAAATTTCTTCGGTTAGGTGGATTCCAATAACAACATTACTGAAGAAAAGTTCAGATCTCACCCAATGGATAAAAAGTGTAACAAACGGAACCATATACAAACATGTTCACTTTTAGTATTACTCAAAATGGGGATTTTTTATGAGAAAATTTTCAATAAAAATTATATAATACGAAATTACAACACATTCACTTGATAAAGTGAGTTTGTAAAAATATAGATTTTTTTAAATAATATATAAATGCTTCCAAAATAGATTTTGTGGATGACGTTGTTCCTAACCGAAAATATTAGGTGAGTTGGGAATGCCATATCAATGTAATTTCCGGCTACTAAAAATCCACCAATGAAATTGGTCCTTTTATCTTCCAAAAATTACTCTACAACAACTTCATTTCCATTCCAAAAATTACTCGACAACAACTTCATTTCCATTCCTACCAATGGTATGGTATATTCTGCTCACCTTATATTTATTGTTTAAAGAAAAAAAAAAAAAAGAGATTGAACACGTGGAGGACTCAACTCCATATAATGTGGAGTAACAAAGCAAACTTTTTAAGTAATTGTGGTTTTGTTGAGGACTCTGAAAATTTGAAGTGAAGGGAGAGAGAAGAAAATAAGGTATACGAGAGAGTGATTTTCTTGCTGGGAGATTAATTTGTCAATGTAACTTAGTTTTGTTCCTCGTTCCAGATCTAGAAATATACTCTCCTTGATCTTTGTTTTAACTTTTTCACATCATCTTATTTGATACACACCCTTTTACCCTTTAGATGGCACTAAAATTTTCCTCTGCTAATATCATTATTGTTGTTGAAAGTTGAAATCCTCCTATGGGTGAAAAAATTACCTAGTTGATCCAAGAATATTTACTTTTTTAATCCCTAACCCTAGTTATGTCTGTATACATAGAACTTGTGCAGAACTATTATTTTGAAGTCCCTAACCCTAGTTATGTCATGGTTTGTGATCGTGACTTTAATTCGATTTAGTTTTTTTTTTTTTTTAGCTAGTTAAAAATGGTTGATTCAGTATACGATATTTTTGTTATTGTAGAATCGAAAGAGGATCAGTTAAAAAGAGTTGATTCAATGAACATGTTTTTGTCATTGTAGGATCGAAAGAGAATCAGATATACCTAGTTTAATTACTTCCGTATGTAAAGAAAGATTATTTTGAATCCATTCGTTTCAAATCCGTAATCTCCTAATCACAGTTATAATCCAATCATGTTTTTGTTAGACCATCACAAAAGGACAAAGAAGTAAAGCATTTAATACCGCTTAGATTGTCACTTTCAAGGAATGTCCCACCCCTTTAAATCTCAAGTAAAAACTAGTGGAATTTTAGGTCTAAAGGGGTAAACTCTAGCCCTTGTCTGCGTGTCCTAACTTTAACTTTATGACACCCATTACTTAGTTTTGTTTGCTTCTGACATGCCTACCCTTTTAACACACTAGAAAACACCAACATGAGTTCAAACTACCAGCCAAAGGACCGCCCTCAAAATTACCATCACGTGATACTCTCTCTCTCTCTCTCCATAAATGATTATATTACATGTACAAACAAATTTCTTTTGCACAGTAATATTCTTATGCTCTCTTTCTCTCTCCTCTTTCTTTGTATTCTTTGTCATTGTCCCTGTCAATCCCAAAACTTATGAGCTCTCCAGCATGTTAGATGTTCCAGCCTAAACTTTCTTTAATTATCAGTCACAGACTGACCATATATTATTAGTAGGAGAGTTCACAAGTTGATATATAGTATACACAAGCCACCACAAGTTGAAGGAAGGCTTAAGCTGGAGACAAGCATGGTTTTGGAAGCAATGTTCAATTCCAGAAGTGCAACAAGTAAGCTTTGAAAATGCATACATGAACATCAATTATACAAACATTCACTTTGTTATTCATAGCTGAAAATACAACATGATTTTTTTAATTATATTTATATTTATATTTATGTGATTATAGTTAATAAGTGCTCATTAAGTACACATTTTAATCACTTGAAACATTAAAAGTATGTTGATATGCTTTGTTTGCTCCTTGGTTTAGTTTCTTGTTTTTTCAGGTGTTTTTTTTCTTCTGTGTTTGAGCAAATTTTTTTAAAAAAAATTTAGTTTTCAATAGATTAAGTGTTTTGGATTTGTTGTATATATGTTGGAGATTTGGCTATTTGCTCCATGATTCATGTGTATACAGTTTCATGACAATATTATAGTCAACATGATTTATTTAATTTTTATTTTTATTTTTATGTGATTTTAGTTAATAAGGGCTCATTAGTACACATTTTAATCACTCGAAACATTAAAATTATGTTGATATGCTTTACTTGATCTTTGGTTGAATTCCTTTATTTTTTTGGTTCTATTTTCTAATGCGCGTTTGAGTTTTTTTTTTTTTTTTTTTTTTGGGGGGGGGGGGGGGGGGGGGGGGTGGGGGGGGGGTTTAGTGTTTTGGATTTGTTGTATATATGTAGGAGTTTTGGCTATTTGCTCCATGATTCATGTCTTCAGTTTCATGACAACATTAGCAGTCTCATTTGCATCGCCAGGAGTACAACAAGGCTATTAGATTTTAATGTTTTTCGTATATTTCTATAGTTAAGTAAGTAGAATCTCCAGTATTAAACTATACTAGTATCCACAAACTATGCATTTCTTTAAACATTTATCGCACTTTCCATATAATTACTTTACAGAACAAGAAACTAGCTTTATGAAGTGATTCATCAGGTGCTTAATATGGATCCATCAGCATAATCATCAAATAAAAAAGAATGAAATAATTAATTGAAATCCCAAGAATTCTCAAAAAAAAAAAAAAAAAAAAAAAATTAAATCATGCCAGTCTAGAGAAAAAACAAGATAAACTCAGCTCATACCTTATATGGAAGTCAACAAACATGAATGATTTCCTCAGTACATCAAAGCACATCTTTACTTTTGGCTTCCATTGTTTGCATGCTAACCTCTACTACATGTGAGAGTTGAGTTGGCAGTTCTGGATGCCCTGCATATATTTTTGTCCAATGGGATGTTCCTGGGAGATAGCTGAGGTTGGATGATTTGACTAGGTTCCTCTTTCCTACATACATGTACATGTATGATGAGTATAATACATAAAAATAATGCCAGATTAAACATATTTAAACAATAAATAAGTCGATGTTTTTGATGGACAGGAGAAATCCCGTGCAGAGAGAGTTGTTAAAACCTTGGCAGTCATCATGAATTTTTTGAATTCAATAATCGAACGTCCAAAGTGCACGATAATAAGCACAAGTAACAAGGTGAACATATAGAATTTATCTAATAACAATTTTAATCACAATCTAAGTTTCTACTAGGACTCCAAAATTTGACACTGTTGGATGACAATCCATGAAATTTCAATTAGATATTAAAATGAATCGCTTCAGCCTGAATAAAAAGAATTGCAGAAAGTAGCTGCAGGTCCATTAGATAAGTGAACTTTATTTACCTTATATTTTGGTATATAAGCTAGACAAACAAACTTGCACCATCCAATTCAGTATGCTTCATCGCCGCACGCCTTTTATTGCAAGCGTCCAGGGCCTCATAGCTTGTTATATTGTATTAACTGGAGCATCTTGAACAGATATGCAGTTATACTTAAAATTCCAGCTGATGATGAGATGTATTACATGTAGAGTTCATGCACACTTTATAATCAGTTCTATTATGTGCCCTAAGAGGTCGAATTATTGCATCTTACCAATTGCACCTGTAGCAAAAACCCAAAAACCCTCAGTAAAATCTGAGACTGATCAACTCATTTTGTCAATGATACTGTGAACGAATAGCATCCAGTGAAGGGATATAAGCTTGCTTTTCTCGAGACATGTTCTTACTTCCCTGTTTTGTAATGCATAACAGGTTTCAAGCTGCCTCAGTTTCAGATAGAATGGCCACAGCCAAGCTCTGGTTGTTTGTGGGAGGATGCCAGCATAATTCTGCAACTTGGGCTCCTTGCACTCATATTTATTTGCTTTGTACGGGAAAATCTATGCAAACACAGAACAAAAGGTGTAGAGAAGTACCCTGCTGGCATAACGTACAGCCACTCTTACAAAATCAGCACAATTTGTTCCACTTTGCTTCTGGGAACTCATTTCATGCTACTAATGCTGCACAACAAGACTAGTGCCTGGTGCAAATCTCCAGTCCCAATCCTTTCATCAGAGATCATGCAAGTGATATCATGGGCAATAACATTGATTGCAATATACAAGATTCCCAATAGAAAGTGCATGAAGTTCCCTTGGATTTTAAGAACCTGGTGGTTCTGCAGCTTCTTCTTGTCACTAATTCGCACGGCTCTTGATATTCATTTAATAATTGTAAACCATGACCACCTTAAAGTACAAGATTATGCTGGCTTCCTTTGTCTTCTGGCATCCACATGCTTATTGGTTATTTCAGTCCGAGGAAAGACAGGCATGGTCTTTAAAGTTCCAAATGGCATCACTGATCCGCTTCTGAATGGCAAAACTGAAAAACGTTCTGAAGGTAAAAGGGAATGTCTATATGGAAAAGCTACTCTTTTCCAACTCATTACATTCTCTTGGCTCAATCCACTCTTTGCTGTGGGGTTCAAGAATCCGCTCAACCAGGATGAAGTCCCGGATGTTGACATCAGGGACTCTGCTGGATTTCTATCCAATTCCTTTGACGAAAGCCTAAAACATGTCAAGGAGAGAGATGGAACCACAAGTCCATCAATCTATAAGGCAATCTTTCTGTTTGTCAGGAAGAAAGCAGCAATCAATGCATTTTTTGCAGTGGTAACTGCCATAGCATCATATGTTGGCCCATACCTTATTGACGACTTTGTAATTTTCCTGAGTGAAAAGAAATTTCGGAGCTTACAGAGTGGTTATATTCTTGCACTGGGCTTTCTTGGTGCTAAAATGGTTGAGACAATAGCACAGAGGCAATGGATCTTCGGGGCTCGCCAGCTAGGCCTTCGGCTGAGGGCTGCTCTGACATCTCACATATACAAAAAGGGCCTCTTATTATCAAGTCAATCCCGCCAAAGCCACAGCAGTGGAGAGATCATCAACTATATGAGTGTGGATGTTTCAAGAATTACAGACTTCATCTGGTACGTGAACATAATTTGGATGTTGCCTATACAAATTTCCTTAGCAGTTTATATTCTACATAGGAATCTAGGATTAGGGTCATTGGTGGGATTAATTGCAACTTTAATGGTGATGGCTTGCAACATACCAATCACAAGATTTCAGAAAAGATACCAGTCTAAGATAATGGAAGCCAAGGACGAACGGATGAAAGCCACTTCAGAAGTTCTCCGGAACATGAAGACACTAAAACTTCAAGCATGGGACAATCATTATCTTCACAATTTAGACATTCTGAGGAAAACAGAATACAATTGGCTATGGAAGTCACTAAGATTGTCAGCAATATCAGCTTTTATCTTCTGGGGATCACCGACATTTATTTCTGTGGTGACTTTTGGGGCATGTGTTTTCATATTGGGGATCCCACTGACAGCCGGGCGAGTCCTATCTGCATTGGCCACATTCCGAATGTTACAAGATCCCATATACAATTTACCTGATTTGCTCACTGTGATTGCTCAGGGCAAGGTGTCTGTGGATAGAATTGCTTCTTACCTCCAAGAAGATGAACTTCAGTCGAATGCCATTAAATTTGTTCCAAAAGATCAAACAGAATTCGGAGTTGAGATAAATGGCGGAAAGTTTAGCTGGGATGCAGAATCAGAAAACCCAACCCTTGATGGAATACAGTTACAAGTGAATAGGGGAATGAAGGTGGCAATTTGTGGCACTGTAGGATCAGGGAAGTCCAGTTTGCTTTCATGCATACTAGGAGAGATGCCAAAAATGTCAGGGACAGTGAAGATTAGTGGTACAAAGGCCTATGTTCCTCAGAGCCCCTGGATACTAACAGGGAATGTCAGAGAGAACATTCTCTTTGGGAATCCTTATGATAGTTCGAAGTATGACAGAACAGTTGAAGCATGTGCCTTAAATAAGGACCTTGAGCTATTCTCCGCTGGTGACTTAACAGAGATTGGAGAAAGAGGGATAAATATGAGTGGAGGCCAGAAGCAAAGGATACAAATCGCTCGTGCAGCCTATCAGGATGCCGATTTATATCTGTTCGATGACCCTTTCAGTGCTGTGGATGCTCATACAGGAAAGAAACTCTTTGAGGTTAGTAAATCCAGAATCTTGGAGTTAAGAACTTACAATTAATCACCTTAAGTTCCACTTAGAATGCCTGCACTCTTCATATATGAAGCAACAATTACGAAAAATTTGATAACTGATGTGTTTTTTTTTTTTTTTTTATGTACTCCATGCAGGACTGCCTGATGGGAATTCTTAAGGACAAGACTATACTTTATGTTACCCACCAAGTTGAGTTTCTTCCAGCAGCAGACCTCATTCTGGTATGTACCATGTGACAAAAGATGCCAATTTGTGTTTTGAGTCAATTAAGAAAATTACTTCAGGGACATGTTAACAAACTAATGATTCATGCATTCTTTACCACCAAGAATAATTCAGAATTAAGGTCGTATTGCACAATGTGCGTGGGTGTGGGTGTGTTTGGTACAAAATTCAAAGAAAGAATTTGAGTAACCAGAACGCTAAGCATGCAAGAATACTGATGCTTTGTTATGATTCTCGAACTATTTAAGAACTGTTTTTATTGTTGAGGAAATTGGTAAATGACTTTCAGATTAGAAAAAAGAATTAACATATTCCATAGATTTTGAAAAAACGGAATTTAATTCAGATTTACTTTCAAAAGTAAACATTTGGCACACCATTAGTGACTGCAATTTTAGGAAAAGGTGTCAGATGTTAAATAATGATTTCAACAGGTGATGCAAAATGGAAAAATAGCACAAGCTGGAACATTCGAAGAACTTTTGAAGCAAAATATCGGATTTGAAGTTCTAGTTGGAGCTCATAGTCAAGCACTGGAATCAATCCTAACAGTCGAAAGTTCTAGCAGAACATCTAAATCTGCAGCAATTGATGGTGAATGCGACACAGATCCCACTTCAAATGCAGACCTTCCACTCACTAATCAGGAATCAGAGCATAATATCTCTCTAGAAATAACAGAAAAGGATGGGAGATTGGTGCAGGATGAAGAGAGAGAGACAGGAAGCATTGGAAAAGAAGTTTATTGGTCTTACTTGACTGTTGTGAAAGGTGGAGCCTTAGTACCAATCATAATTTTGGCCCAGTCACTTTTCCAAGTACTACAGATAGCCAGCAATTACTGGATGGCATGGGCTTGTCCTCCTACCAATGAAACTGAGCCAGTAGCTGGGATGAATTTTATATTACTTGTCTATGCACTTCTTGCTGCTGGAAGTTCACTTTGTGTTCTGGTCCGAGCCACGCTAGTCGCCACAACCGGCCTTCAGACAGCACAAAAGCTCTTCACCAACATGCTGCATAGTGTCTTCCGTGCTCCAATGGCATTCTTTGATTCAACACCGACAGGAAGAATCTTAAATAGGGTGAGTAAAACAAATCTCACTTCTAATTTCCAAGAACATCAATTTTGGAGTTAAAACATATAGAGATTGGCAGTGGCTGGTTCTAGTCTAATTTGATATGCTTAATGTGTGTAATAGAGTTTGCAGGTATATAGCATCAGTCTAGAGGAAAATAATAGATGCTGTACATGAATGAACAGTAGTAGCAGTTGCGCTGAAGATTTCAAATTTCAACTCGCACAAAATCTACATCAAAGATCAATGTCTAAAATGCATAAAATGAGTTAGTTTTTTTACTTTAAACAAGAAAACTAAGCATACGAAATAAGGAAGTCTTATTTATTTACTAATTACTGAAGTTTGCATTAACCTATGGAAACTACAATTTCAGATGAATTCGTTCAACCAAAAAAAAAAAAGACATTCCATAGCGGACAATAATAGGAGTATGAATGATATCAGCCAACTTATAAAGAAACTAATATTATTTCCTTAACCTTTGCAAGGGGGTGATTATTGCCATAATATGCTCTCTCTGTTGTTATAACCAGCTCACCTCCAGAGTTTTAATTAAATATTCTTCCCCAAAGAACACACTGATCCCAAAAGGACCACTGCTCCATGACAAGGAAAAGACTTCTTTTAGAAATAGAAATAATGTCCCAGCAGTCTGCATCTTGAGTAAGACAAAAATGACTTGATAAATGATGGAATTAAATAATAATTGATAAGTAATAAAGAAAAAAAATTGAAAAGACATTTTTTGAGTTTACAGCTTTCAAGGTGAAGCCTGAAGATCAATGCAATGCTAAAAGTCTTGCTCATATATTTTCAATTTCTAAGATATGAGATAGTACAGATGAGTTCCGATTTGATTTATTCCTTCAGACATTTATACATCTTGTTCATAAGAAACTGAAAGCATAAATTTCCTGAAGACTCACAGTACCTAATTATTTTATTCTCAGGCATCTACAGACCAAAGTGTGGTAGACTTGGAGATGGCAGCCAGATTAGGTTGGTGTGCTTTCTCAATAATACAGATTCTTGGGACCATTGCAGTCATGTCGCAGGTAGCATGGGAAGTATTCGTCATCTTCATTCCAGTAACAGCAATCTGCATATGGTACCAAGTAAGACACTACGAAGTGATTAAGTTTTGGTGTTAGAACATTTCATTGCTCAATTAAATTATGTAGAGTACATTACAAAATTTTCAATAATAATAAAAAAAAAGAAGAAAAGAAAACGGATGAAAATTATTATGAAATTGTTATAACCACTATTTTGATGAATCTTTTAGAAAAGCAAATAAACTTAGCTACCCAAAAGGGAAAAAGAAATTGATAAGTAGCTTAACATCACCACTTAAAAATTGTTCTTATTTTGTTGATATATATCTAATATCTTTTTGGTAATTTCAGCAATATTACATACCAACTGCAAGAGAATTGGCACGTTTAGCAGGAATACAACTAGCTCCAATCCTCCACCACTTTGCAGAATCACTTGCAGGAGCAGCAGCAATCCGTGCTTTTGACCAAAAAGACCGCTTCACTGATGCGAATCTCCGTCTTATTGATAACCACTCCAGATCATGGTTTCACAATGTATCAGCAATGGAATGGCTTTCTTTCAGACTAAACCAGTTGTCCAATTTTGTTTTTGCCTTCTCACTGGTTTTGCTTGTAAGCCTCCCTGAAGGAATTATTAATCCAAGTGAGCATCAGAAATTTATTGTAATATTTTGATTTTCCTAAGCATAAAATATGCAGACGTCGTCTTTGATCAGAATGACCTAAAAGTGGAGCTCATAAAATATCTTTTGCTTCCTTAGACATGGTTAGGATCCTTTTTAAATGGCACTAACCAAAGGGTGGACACCACTCCCATGTACATCACATTATGAAGGTGTATGCCAAATATGTAGCTTACATGATAGTCAATTTCCTATTTTTTATGAGAAAATATTAGTTTCAATGCACATGTATTCACAAAGAACTAATCTCAGACTTGGATATTCTACAGGCATTGCAGGGTTGGCGGTAACATATGGAATCAATTTGAACATACTTCAAGCTTCAGTTATCTGGAACATATGCAATGCAGAAAATAAAATGATATCTGTCGAAAGAATTCTTCAGTACTCAAATCTAGCCAGTGAAGCACCTCTGGTTAATGAAGAATGCAGACCACCAAACAACTGGCCAGATATTGGAACAATTTGTTTCAAAAATCTGCAGGTAAACCTTCAAAGCATGGTATTAATTTTTAAAATATAAAATATTTTTCAGATAATTTGGAATTTGTTTTCATATGAAACATTTTTCCATACAAATTCTAGAATACTTAATAAAAATGAATGTGTTGGAATTTTGTTAATTACTCCCATCCAACACCTTTTTCAATGAGTTCACAAGTTTTCTTTTTTATTTGAAATTAAGGACCATTTCACATACAACTCTGAGGGGTTAGAAGAATAACTTTGGGCTTTGTCTTAAGCATTTCCTTATGTGTATGCCTCATTTTGCAGATCCGTTACGCTGAACATCTCCCATCGGTCTTGAAAGACATTACTTGCATATTTCCGGGAAAAAAGAAAGTAGGTGTTGTGGGAAGGACAGGCAGTGGGAAATCAACCCTCATACAAGCCATTTTTCGAATTGTAGAACCCAGAGAGGGAAGCATTGTCATCGATGATGTAGATATTTGCAAGATAGGTCTTCATGATTTGAGAACAAGACTTAGCATAATTCCACAAGACCCAACAATGTTTGAAGGATCAATTAGAGGAAACCTTGATCCACTACAGCAGTACTCTGACAATGAAATTTGGGAGGTAAAATATTGTTGCCATACATTCCATAGAACCATTTTTATTATGACTTGAATGCAAATCAGCTCGAGTTATTTATTAAAATACAAGTGAAATGCAATATAGCTACTAAATTGATGCAGTACAAAAGAGCCTAGTTCAGTGGCCATAATGCATAAATTAAGTTGAGTTTTGGCATGAGTTATGTAACAAGGCCATGAACGTGCCACATATATGCTAAATGTGGTTATGGTATGAAATTATTATAACTGAAACAACTCCGTAATCTTACAGGCACTAGATAAATGTCAACTTGGTGATTTAGTGCGTGCTAAGGAAGAGAAGCTGGATTCTACAGGTTAGATTTATCATTGTTCCTTATTATGTAGGGTTTGTAGGTTTTTCAATAGTGAAAGCTCCTAATATATATGGCTCTGACAGTGGTCGAAAATGGAGAGAACTGGAGTGTGGGCCAAAGGCAGTTATTCTGTCTCGGAAGAGCCTTGCTAAAGAGAAGTAGCGTTCTCGTACTGGATGAGGCAACAGCATCAGTTGATACTGCAACTGATGGAGTGATACAGAAGATCATTAGTCAAGAGTTCAGAGATCGAACTGTTGTCACGATAGCTCACAGAATCCACACGATTATAGATAGTGACCTTGTCTTGGTCCTTGATGAAGGTAAGCACAAAAGACGATGTATATATGATAAATGAGCAGATAAGCCTATAGTTGTGTTTCCATGGACTACTTGATTGAAAACTAATTAAATTTTTTTTTTTTTTTCTGTCAACAGGAAGAATAGCGGAGTACGACACACCAGCAAAGCTACTGGAAAGAGAGGATTCCTTCTTCTCAAAACTGATCAAGGAGTACTCCATGAGATCACAAAATTTCAATAGCTTGGTGCAAGTGCAAAACTGAATCTTGATGCTGACAATTTCAAGAAATGAAACTTGCATGGCCATCTCATGAAAGAGAGACCATAAGTTAAGGGGTAGTAGCACATCACTCAGATAGGCAACAAAGGTTTGAGTCATTTCTCAGCTCTGACAGAGGAGACAGATAGACTGCTTTGGAGGTGAAGTGCCGTTGATATTAGTGAATAATAATAAGGGCTCAGTGCACACGACACCCGTGGGGGGAGGGTTTGATGTACGCAACCTTACCTCTGAGGCTATTTCCTGTAACAAGCCTGAAGTCATTCCTTATCCTGATTCAGCATTTCTAGGGCTGTCATATGTATGATAAAAACAAAATAATGAAAGATTCTCCCAGAGGCATCATAATATCATTCAAGATTACTGGTGTATTATTAGAAAAACATATATATGTGTAAGATTATTGCCTAATAAAAGTCTAGTGTGAAATTATGCGATCCATGTTGCATCAATATGCGTCCAGTTTATGCTTTGAATTCAAAAACTCCAGTAAATGGTAATTTTTTGTCATTTGTATACCACTAAGAAGGATTTTCTATAGAGTACATACTATGTAATTGCATAAATGTAGTATGCAAAAGATATATATTAAATCAATAAGCGCATTAAGACTTGAGTCATTTACAAGTTCCCAAATTCTAAAACTGAAATATGATTTACACTAAACTGTATGGTGGAGTTAATTGTGGCATACCATACTATTGAATGAACCATTGCGCCCAAAAATTCTTAATTTTGTGTCCAAAAGTTCTTACCTGAGTCAGATATGCAATGTTGAGTGCAATCCGAGTCATCATTTTATAATGGGTGGGGTGCTTTGCGATCTAATACCCAATCATTCTCCCTTTCGGATCCGATGTGAGATAAATTTCCCCTTGTAATATTCTCCTTGGCCCGAACTTGCAACGCCTTCGGTAGATCCCATATATACTCAATTACTCTCTCATCCGGATCATCAGATGTGAGACAAATTTTTCCTTGTAAACTAACCCTTTTTAAGGTTGAAAAAAAAAACAAAAAACTTATACTTTTGAACTACCTGCAAAACTAAATGGAACTTCATATTCCATAACAAGGACAATGCAACTTCTGGCAGGAAAAGATAAGGCACTATTGTAAAGATGAATTCACAGAGGTGGGAACTAATTATTTTGGAGTTTGGACAATGACAATTTGCATAACAGAGAGATAATGACAAAAAAGAAAGAAATGTACATGAAATTGCCTAGTTTATAGATTTAAGAAATTCCAACATTGTTTATAGGCAAAATGAAGATAGAATTTCACCTAAATGGAGGCATAGAGATATGAAATTGAAATTAAAAAAAGAAAAACAAATTAATGCATACATAAAGCAATAGGTTCAGAAACACAGCATAATCATACAAATGAAGCATTGAAAGCAAATAATTCAATACTAGCATTGCCACCAAAATGAGTTTATATATATATATATATATATATTATTATTTTTTCTTGGGTATAAAAAATATATATTTTATATACACAACAAAATTACAAAGGCAAAGGACATACCGGTAATTTCATATTCATATCTTAATCACTATTAAACCTTTCTCTTCACTTCCAAAAAGTTCCAACTTCACGAACGGAACAACGAATCGCCGATTACTTGCTCAGAGAAACACCTCGCCGGAAATTTTGGGACCTACTATCCGTGCATCCGGTGTGAGTGGACGGTTGAGATTCAACCAAAGATGGCGGTGATGAGAACGCCGAGTGTCCTAACAGCAGTCAGATTCGAGACCACAAATTCTAGTAACGGTAGACATCCACGCAATCCGGACACACCAGTGCCCCGTCTCTCAGTTTCGAAGCCATCTTGGATCGTTAGAACAGAGGCAAGTCCATTACTCTCTCTCTTCTAATCTGTGTATCTCCCTGTTTGTTTGCTGAGAAAATGCTGGAAAAGAAAAGGAAATTTGTTTGTGGCTTTATATTTTTGTATAATTGCTCATGTACATGATTACCTGTACTATGTGTTATTGAAGCATAGTTTTTTTTTTTTTGGCACATTGAAGCATAGTGACAAATAACAATTTTAGCATAAAATTTGAAACATATTCATAAATAATAGTGACTTTATTGTCTATGCTATTAACCAAACTACTCCGTATCTATTATCAAAATATTCAATTGTTTTATTTTTACCATTTATGGATGTTAAAAACAGTCTTGGATCCTGGGTCCATGGTTTGGAGGTTTTTAACGCAGCTAAATCGTGTTTCAACTAATTTCTTCTAAATTTCAACAATAAAGCTAATGTGTTGAAATTAGAAATAATGGTGTTGAAAAGACATTTCAACACAGTTGAATTGTGTTTCTACACATATTTCGTGTTTCAACACATTAGTTTTATCAGTTTAAATCTCGAATAAATGTGTTGAAACACGGCTTAACTACATGCTACAGCCCGTTACAGCAGAGGATCTAGACAGGTTAACAATATCATAAAAATATGGTGCATTTCTCATTTACTTGTAATGTGTAATATATATATACACACACTAAACTAAAACCACATTGTCTAACAACAGCTTTGGAATGAGAGCAGTTTTAGTTAGTTCAAATTCTTTATTGGCATAAAGAGAGATTAGGAATGCTGTGAAAAGTAACCATAAAAATGAAGAAAAATAGTACAACATAGTAAGGAACTTGCACATGGATAGTGTCTCCCCTCTAATAGATATGTATATTTGTATGTGTATATATGTGGGCTCCTGTTAACAACTTTTGTGATTTGAACATGCTATACCTGTTGCCAGTAAGTATAACAAATATTGTGTTTATGAGTGTCTGTATCCACATTAGCTAAAGTTTTATTGAGATTCTATGGATATGCCACAAACTATAGATAATATTATACGTGGTATACATATACATGCGTGCAGTGTAATTCTATATTTGTTGTAACATTGACATGCATACAAACATCAATATCTATTATCAAAATTATTGTTTTAAGAAAAATGGAAGTGAGCTAGTTATAGAAGGATGCAAAGAATTTGATTATTATAGTTAGTCATTTGTTTAAAGGATTTTAGTCACCTTCTTCAGCCTGGAAGAGATGTTTCCTTGGCACATGGAATTTGAAAACAATGAGAGATCAGAAAGTGTTTTTGGTCTTGCCATTTATATGTCCTACTAATGTTTTGACAACAATTACTTGTTGCAGTCAAATGTTCGGATAGAACGAAGGAAGAAGCCAGATCCACCTTGCGTGATATGTAGAGGAAGTGGAAGAGTTGAATGCCATGATTGTTGCGGAAAAGGTCTCTCTCCCTCCCTCTCACACACACACATACATTCATGATCAAGTTGGGCTTTGAATGAATTCTAGAGGAAATCCCAAACGCAAAATGTTACCTATGCTAAAGAGGAAAGTAGAGTTCTGCAAAGCAGTCTGTATTAGAGAAATAGCAACCCAAAGTACAGTCATATATAGTGACATTTTTGTAAAGTAGAAGCACCATTCTTAAGTGGTAAGTAGAGCCATTACTTCAAGCATTTCAAAATTTGAAACCCAAAAAGTTCAAGTACAACACATAGATAATTTATACCTACCTCTTTAGCAACAGAAATATACATATACTTCAAAATTTTAACTTACCCGGTCTCCAAATGTACAGTACACCATTGTTTTACCACATGTAAATGGTCTTTTGGACTGATTTTATTTACTTATTTTCTTCTTCTTTTAATTGGATTGCTTCTATATTGCTGTCTTTTTATTTTTGTTTTCGTCTTCCCGGATGTGTTGTTTGTTGCACAGCCAATCGAATTTTTTCAGTCATTTAGGACTGTTTAATGCTGAGACCAGTACCAATACTTTGAACCATGATATGGTTCTGCTTTGTTTGGGTAGTACTCATTCGCTAGGGCGTATGGGTGTCTCTTCAAAGCGAAATGATTCCTCTTTGATCCCCCTTTAGCAACAGAATGAGTTCACTAACCTTATCAAAACAATAGGTAGCCTGTAGAATGAGTTCACTAATCATTAAGGTTAAGGCAACTTAGTTCAAATGTCTTGATAATTAAATGGACTGATTTCAGTTTCATGTGTATCCAAATAACCCCTGTAATTTTTTCATGCAACTTCATATCTTGCTTTGTCATAACATGGAAACTACTTAATTGGGAGCGGCAATTGTCCTCAAATGAAAATCTGAGTTCAGACACCATACCCTTATTATGCAATATGTGGGGCTGCATTAATTTGTAAATGGAAAACCACTGCACTGCTTCCACTTTGTCCGACCCAAAAATCCATCTTCTGACATTCAATTTGTTTCTGATCTTGCCGATCTGTTATTGCCACGAGTAAAAATAATAATAATAAAATAAAGTGTTTGACCAGAAAGAACTTGCTTAGGGTGTTTCTACAATTCTAGTATAAGTCTCTGAGTGTTGTTCCGTTCATCCAATCCAGACTCGAGCTTGTTCTTATTGTCATCACTCAACTCATGCATGTGGACCTCGTTAAGGTTGGAATTTCTGTTAGTATTGGATAGTAGACCAGATAAACATGTTCCTCCATATATGAATTGGCTTTTACTAAATGTTTCATTCTTCCATTCATCTTCTTTTCCTTTTTATCTTATTTCTATGTTTTGATATCATAGGCAGGACGAATTACTTAAATTTACCAATGCTTCCAAAAGGGGAGTGGCCAAAATGGTGAGTTATAAAATTCTTGTTTTTTCAATTTTAGAAGTGCAATCTATGACTTTATAATTTATAAATTGTATTGTTTTTTCAATTTTAGAAGTGCAATCTATGACTTTATAATTTATAAATTGTATTGGTGCTTCCACCAACTACTCTCAATCCCTGCAGGTGCAGGTCCTGTGGTGGAAGTGGCCTCGGTTATTGCTCTCGTTGTCTTGGGACCGGAGAATACAGGTATATAATGGGCTTTCATTTCATGAAGATGGATGCAGATTCCACCCAAGGTCGCAAAAAACGTTTGGTCTCTGATATCCCAGGTTCTCAAAGTGCAGCAGATTTACTTCTAAATGATGAACAACCAAGTTCAAACCATGAAAGATGATTTTTTTCGTGAAATGTTGGATTCCAGTGTACTTGCTATAAAAATGTAGTTCGTCTTAGGCTCCTCTCTTCTATTACTACAAGGAAGTCTCTATACAAGACTCAACACTCTTGGCGGCTCCTTAATCCACACTCGGAGTTTCTCACTCTTGGAGCTTGCCTCTTACAAATGAAATCACTCCCTATTTATAGGCACCTCATCCCTAACGGACGACTAAGATGCAATCTCACCGACGGTTGAGATCATTCCTGTAGAACTTTCTCCAACCTTCACATACATCTACACACATCTACACTATTCTAGAACTCTCCACATTAGTCTCCACAACTCTAGAGAACTCTAGAATATTCTCATGCCATGCAAACGCCATGCAACATCTTACCCAGCGCGTGTCGCCTACATGGCATAACCTCCATTGGCGGAGCGTGACATGTAGCTATGTATCCGAATTGCAAGTGATTGTTGCTCCAAAATGTTGCTATATGTAGTTTTGTCAATTAAATTGGAAGAATAATGATTTATATTGGTTGTCATAGAATTACATTTACCACCTGATAGGCCAATTAGAAATTTTCGGTCCCCCTATTTTGGTTTAGAGTTTGTCATGTTGGCTTTGAGAATTTTTAGTTTTCCAGCATGTTCATTTCATGTGTGAGCTTTGGGAAAACAAGGTTTTTCAAGAAAGCCTATTTTCTGTTTCTAGAATTAAAATCACTTGACAGGATGTGAAGTGTGCTTGAACAAGAAGTATTCTCCCAAAAGAACCTCAATGCATGTTTGGTTCTGTATTCTGGACAAACACTGAACGATGGACAAGACTATTCTCTTTTTCATAATAAATTGGGTTCATTATTTGGGTGGCTAATGCTGTCAAGAGGCTGAGGCAATTAATCGTATGTTAAATTCTTTACATGTTTTATTTATTTAACCAATTCTATATAATCTATTAAAAAGATATTGATAGGGTGTTCAATTGAATTATGAATTAGAAGTTCCAAAATTTCTCAACAAATCCAATTTTTCTAGGATGTGCTGCGTCACTTTCCATTGTTTTGAATATCTTACAAACTAAAACGAAGACATTATTTAGTCTGATTTTCTCCAAAAAAAAAAAAAATTCTAATACAAATTTTATAACCAAATATCAACTCCTTGAAGTTTTCTGATAGAAACTTTCATGTAGCACATGCTGTCTTCAAATATCTTCCCAGTACAGTTCTATTCCTGAAGCAATTGTAATGAGACATGTGCCCTACCTAGAAGATGACCAACTTCATTCAATTTAAACAACCCTAGGCTTTATAGGAAAGGAACGCTTGTTGCCAGCAACTTTTAACCAGCAAAATGAAAAGATGCATTCAGGTTTTCGTTTAGCAAGCTTTCATGGATGTCCAGCGTACAAAGTTCTTGGAATATGACAGATGCTGGATTCAAAAATTATTCCCTCAGAAACCATAATTTCACACAACTAAAAATTGGTACTATGGGATACAAGTCAGTCACTACTCATTAAAAAGAGAACTAATATACCCTCTAGTGTCATCACGGAAAGGAGAGGTGGAATATAATGCAGACCATTCCTGGGGAAAAGGCAAAAACCAAAAACCATCTGGGTATAGGGTCTGGGCTTCATGAAGAAACTCCATACGGGATAATTGCAGCAGCCACAATCCTGCCTTCCTCATTCAGTACGTTGTAAGTTGATGAAGCGTTTCTCTGCAACAAAAGTAAATGAAGATTATGATAACTGTAGAAGTTAAGGTTACACCATTTCACAGATATGCCCAACAGGATGAAGACCTCATTCATACATGTTTTCTGTGCTACAAAAATATGGATACAAACCCCCCGCCCCCGCAGCGGGTAGGTAAGAAAAATTTATATTAACTCAAAAAAAAAAAAAAATTACACATAACAAAGGGCATCCCCCAGGTTAGCAGAATCTATGAACCCCCCAGGTCCACCAAAGCCACAGACGAAAACAAGACCAATGCTTAGGTATGCACTCAAAGACAGGACTTTTACATGTACATCGATTTGTTTCATATCCTGCTTGCATATTGCTACAACAAATTATTTTTACACACATGGAGACATGCACAGTCTCAGATTGGTAGCGAAGTCTTGCGTTATTACTACTCATATAAGTGTTCCTGTTTCATATGCCCCAACTAGATCTGTAAATTTTAAATGAAATCCAAATACTGGCAGATGGCCCACCTGGAGCCTCTTACTCCTGTTATTAATTTGAAACACCACTACATAAAAAGTTGTTCTAATTAATAATCCTAAAAATGAGTATTTAATCACTTCAATTGTCCCTCCTTAAAATTTTACCTGCTATATTTTTTCATCTAGCTCAACTTTTGCCACAAAGGAAAGGTACTTTCAGTTTTAGATTTCAGCCAAAATTATGTGAACTACAATGATAAAATGGTGCTATATTTTAAGGCTAAGATCCAACAAAAACCAAAATTAAAAGGGGAGCTTTTGGAGGTTGACAGGTTCCAAGTGGAACAATCAGGTGCCAGGTGGGATTATCAAACTTCAAACCTTATCCCAATCGTCCCCACTCTTCACTCTTTTACTTAGCGGCAGGTTCCAATTCAAGTGAGTTGGGTATTTCATTTCTTTAAGGCTTGATGTCTAGCTCTCAAAAGGTCAGTGTTATCAGGTTAAAAAATAACAAAGTATCAAATACAAAAGTACACGCTGCTAAAGCCAAGTATTACCTTTCATTTTAAGGTACGCCACTTATCAAAATAAATTTTTTTTAAGGTATGCCACATTTGTATTTCAGATTATCATTAACCACGGTTTAAGATCTTATGAGGATTCAACTTTAAAAGAGAGGAAAAAAGAAAAAAGAAAAAAAGATCCTATGAGGATTCAAAGATTAATAAAATCTAATGAAGCATAAGGTAAAATAATCTAATGAAGCTTCTAATTTATATCCACGGTAGCTTTGTCATCAGCACAGAGCGAAAAAAATTTACTCTAAACAATCAAAAGATGCTCTAGTGTTTGTGCAGATTGAAGAAGGAAAAAGAAAAGAATGAACATGGCTTGCATAGTGACGACTTATTCTCTAAGGCAGGGAACGATAAAAACAGTAATTTGGGAGGTTAAGCTATACTTAACGTAACTAATCCACGATGCTGCTTATTTATGATTTGATCCATAGATAGCTTGGCCTGTGAGTCAAGCTGATTTGGGACATTTGGCACATACATGGGGGAGCCCATCCTTCTAGGAAAAGGTACTTTCCATTTGATTGGACCCCAAATGAAGCGTAGCCAAGCAGCATTTTTTCGTATTTTTGCCCCAGCTCACCCAGACAACATTAGTTCACTTGTCGCCTAAGCATTTATTATATCTTTTCGGTCAACTATGATGCTTACTATATCAATATCAAGTATTATGTTTTGACATATATCACTATCTCAAAAAATAAAATAAAATAAATAACAAGTACATAGAAACAAATTAATTCAAGATAAATACCGAGTCAACTGCTTCTAATTTCATGCCCATCGACCGAATGAATTGTCGGAGTTCAGGATTGACTTGTTCAGTGTACCTCCCACAACCAAGTATCAAAATTTCTGAAATGAATCATAAGTGAAAGCTTAAATAACAGATGCCGATAAGAATGCAAATGGAAAACATTAATATCATTAGAAAAAGCTAAAAGCAAGTAGTATATGGTAGCCTATAGTAGACAGAGGTTCGGTAAATATGTCAGAAATTGCATTCCTAATTGCTGAAAGTTCTTACTCTATAATATACATTAGAGAGGTTCATTAAACATGTCAAAAGAATTTTAACAAGTACCAATAACACAAATGAGAAACGATTTCTAGAATTAATGAAAGTATATAGATTCAACAAGAAGGCTTTAATTCAAGTGGCATCTCCTCCTCCCGCATGAGAGTTTTAGTCCCATTCGGAAATAGTGAGTGTGTGTTGAGAGTTGGGTGTGCACACCTACCTACCCGGAAAAGGAAAAACGAAAAAGGCAAAAAGAGAAAGAATGTAGAATCATTTCCTTGATATTTGATAGACATAGGGTAACAAAATACAATTTGCAAATGCATGTCTGATGTTGATGACTAGCGTAAATTTTGAATTCTCCATCCCAACTGAAAAAAAAAAAAAATTTATTTTCCAATCCAAATGGGATAGGGATAGTGCACCTAGTGAAGGTTTTAATCTTTAAATGGGGTTTGAAGGACATTATTGGCAGAACTTGGCCAAGTATTATAGAGAGTAATTTCTGCGAAGTGGCACATTTTTTTTTTTTTTTTTGTCATATAAAGTATATTAAGAAAGTACTAGGAAGGCACCCCTAATAACCATTAGTCCAGGAAAACGCAGAATCAGAAAATATATTCAACATGCTGGACACAAAGTCATGCAGTTTGTAACAGTAAAAAAAAAAAGAAGTAAACTATAACGGGTGGTTCATGGTCTCAAGCTTGTTCTATACTTAAATTTTGACAAATGAAAAAAACCCGATTGTATTGTCTGCAGTTTTGAGCAGTTTAGTACAATGTCCAGCATTAAATCTCAGTAACTGAGATCATGGGGCATCGCACTCTTTAGCAGACACATATTATTTGAGTTCTCACCTGGTATAGGCCGCACTGTTTTAAAGATCGATAAGCTGCATCATCAACACATAAATGATTATACGTCAGAAAAATATACAAAATAACATCATGAAGGAGGCATTTTCTTACTCTAGCTAACAGTAGATTTTCATGAGGGAACACTCAAGTTCATATACGGCATAAATAATAATTAGATGATGGGCTGATATTTGGCACTCTACAAATTGTACACACAGTTCAAACCGTCCGAATTATGAAAATTTTCCCTACTGCTAAACTACTAGCATTCAAAGGTGCAAGGTTTGAGAAGCCAAACTATGTCATACAAACATTTCAACTTTGCATAAAATTATGAATTGCACTCACTGCAAAAAGCATTACCAAAAACAATATTTGCATCTGTACTTACCTATCAGGTGTGATTTCTGAAAATTTCTTCGGACTCCAAGACATTACCATGTTTCCAACACAAAGCAAGCTGCCTTCATAATGAACTCCATTCACAGTAAACCCTGTATCGGTATAGCTATAGCACAAATGTAACTATTAGCATCCAAAAACGAAGAACTAGCAAGTGTATCATACTTCAGCCATATAGCCATGAAAATTAGCCAAAATTCTAATAGAAAATCGGCAAACATTTTTAATTTTTCATATTAGTGGAAGATATACAAATAAAATTGGCTTCTTTTTACAAATCCAGCTAACATGTGTGTGTAGATATATATATATATATTCCCCATCTCTCTCTATAGATACATATGCGCGGACACATGCACACACAGATACATAAACTCGGTCTGTTAATAATTTGAACAATAGGTTTGGTGATTCGAGTGAATGCGGATTTCAAATTAGAAAGTATGCAAAGAACGACTTACAAATGCCAAGTTTTGAGCAAACCTGAATTGACTCCGAATGGAAATCAAACTAGTGGTTTAATTATTCCTTTTACAAATTTAGCTCACACACACAAACATATATATAAACACGGTTTTTGACAATTTGAACAACAAGTTTGGCGATTGGAACGAATGTGGATTTCAAATTAGAAAGTCCAAAAAATGACCTAGAAATGCTAGAATTATGAGGAAACGTAAATTGACTTTGAATAATCTATATAATCAGTTTTAAGATGGTGAAAGATAATCGAGATAGGAAAGAATAGAACAATTGTAATAAAAAATAATAATAATAATAAAAAATTGGAAGAATTGTTGAATGAATACTGATGAATTGATACCTTTGGAAGCGTAATTGGTCATCGGGGATGTTATCGATAAGATTGATCTGATCGTAGAGAGAGAAAGCGCGTCGGAGTGATGGCAAGGGTTGGTTTGAGGGCTTTGGGGACTCCTTTCGAAGAACTCGCATCAGCGTCGGAAGTGTTCCCACTGCTTTCTGTCTCACCGCCATTTCTCTCTCTTCTCTCCTCTCTCTCTCTAGCCGAGGATGTAGTTAAACCGGAGGTCTCTGTAGTTATGCCTTCGCGTTTGATTCTTTGGCATTAGTTATTTCTCTGTGTTTTACAGAAATTGGAATATATGGCGCATTCGTCAAATTTTAGAAAAGGGCTCGATTTTAGAGTTTCCAAAAGTACATTTCAAAGCTCCAAATTGTATCCAAAGATTCTTCAATTTTATCCATTTTTTTTTTCTTTCGAATAATTAGATTAAAATTTTATAGGAGACAAATAGAATTTTAAATTTTTTGGTCTGTTTTTAGTTCCTATTTTTAATTACAGTGATTTTTTTAATTACACAAAGCATGATAAGCAACCACTTTTGTTTTATGTTTTTTCATTCTATATGTAATAGAAGGAGTGCTTTTATTTTGTTGTAATTCATTCACAACGTGTTTGGTAACTTAATTTTTTTTTTTTTTTTACAAATTTTCAAGGCAAAATAATAATAATACGGAGTAATAAATAAATGTTTGAAAAACTCAAAAAAATAATCTGACATTTACATTATATAGGCTTTATTTAAATAAAAAAAAAATCCACTACAATCCTTTGTAGTAACAAAAACAATTTTTTATTTTTCACTTTCTTCACCTCTTTCTTTTTCTTTTCTTTTTTTTCCGCACTTCACTTGTTTCTGGATCTGCAACAAGCCACAAAAAAGAAGAATAAAGTAGTTTCCAAACAGGCCAAAGTGATGGGTTATGTTATTTATGTGCAACCACGAAAGACCAGAGTCTAATAATATACCTCTCAAAATCAAAAGTTGCACCAAAGAAATGTAAGACATGGATTTGAACCAATACGAAACTTTCTTATCCACAAATTGTTGCGTCACTAACTTCCAAAACATAATGCTTAATCGAGAAGGTAGTTTCTTGTGTGTGTGTGTGAATCAATTTAACCTGTTGTGTACAACTTATACAATAAAAAGCCAAACAAAATCAACAACCACAATAACATCAGTTATTGCAACCCCGAACAATGCGAAGAACAAAAAATGTACCATATAGTACTCAAAAACATGATCGCAAACCTCGTTGCGCCTCTCCACGACTTTATTAAAGGTAGATATAAATTTAAAAATGTAAATCAGGAGGAAACATAACAAGGAGCTGGCAAGAAAGGAAATGGTGCAGCAGAAGCGTATGCTACAGGAGCACGTGCTTGACCACCAACAGCCTTTTTTCGACAGTTGACATTTTCTGTCTCCTGTATTAGAGTTTCTGGGGGAGATGAGAGCTCGGCAATCCTCTCTGAACTTTCTTCTGTCAGGATCTGCTCACTACCAGAAATGCGGTGAAATAGAAGACCAGACATAAACATGGGAAGATACAGGAGGCTGGCATGGAACATTCTCCTGGCATTCTTCGTTGTGCGGTTTAGGTAGAATGACGCTGCTGTTGCACCGATTGCAAAAGCAAGGAGCGTTGATTCAAGACAAAACCATCCAGAGGTTATACCCCCTGCAACAAGAGCTGGTATTTAGATGGTGCAATGGGACGAATTCTCAATGGAATTACCAACTTAAACAGAAATCTTACATTTATATTACTGCAGCATGCATTGGTAATTGCACACACGCAAACAACTTTTTCAAACAAGGAAAAAAGGAAATTTAAGAGAGAAATTCAAATGTATCAGATCAAAGCTCTGTGGATCTGGTTTGATCTATGTATCAAGTCCTCGATCAATCGATCTATTCGGGATTCCAATTTCCTTTTTTAGATTGAAACAGTCCAAAACATATTTTCTCTGTACTTCTAATTTGCCTGCCCATTCCTACCTATTCTCCATCCTTCTGACTGGAAAGCCATTTCTCTGCCCAGAGACAAACCACTCTCCTCTATATACACTACCCTAGGGCAGACCACATGTATCTGATAGAGCATACACAGAGCATATGGAGAGCATATTTGTGAGTTCTAGAGAGCATCCATATACATTCATTATTCTTCCATTAGAATTGTTGAGTGTGTTCTGACTGTGTTGACATCATCGTTGCAGAGCTATTCTTTCAACACCAACCACTCTAATCAGCCCGTTAGAGATTGGGTTGGACGAGTACTGGCTGAGACTGACTTATTGGTTCGAGAAGCAGATTCGTGCGAAGTTTGTTGATGGCAAGTTTGGTAGATCAATCAGTGTTAAGTGGCAACCAGGGGTTTTCTGGGATTTTGAAAAACTGTTAAACCTAGGTTATAGTATCTAAATTTCCACTAATCTGTCTGAATTTAAAAAGTAGTTAAAATTAATAAATGATAGACTTTGCGAGATTTTCTGTCAAGGCCTCGGGATACGGTCTAACAAACTATCAATTCTCAAAAACTGGGGTTCCCTTAGAGTGAGACAAATTGAACAGCAGCTGGAAAAGTTTACAATGGTCCATTCAATGGCGATAACAAAGAGATCAAATGGCAAGGTACCAGAACCCCTCCAGGGTACAGTGGGGTGAGCTAAAAATAGGAAGGTAAACACACTCAAGGTAGAGGTCTCAGGGTAAAGCCAAAGGCTCTGCATGGAGGTATTGCACTGGAGGCCTTTGAGAAGTTACGCTCTGAATTTTTGCACATGAAGAATTACTACTTCACGCTGCTTACACAGCGACAAGTGGTACATGATACACAAACCATACCACCAGTAACTTTTACATTATAGAATTATGAATCAGACATTAATTTAATTGACAAATGAAAATTGACATTAAAAAGTAAAAGAAAATTTGAAAAGAAAAAGAAATGATCATACATACATATGTGTGTGTGTGTGTGTGTGTGTGTATTGTTATTGGGACAATAACTCACAATCATAGGCCAAGTATCCCAATGGAAGCAGATATAGGCAGTTCCTCAATGCCACCAACGAGGTTCTCCGACCAGAAGCATCGGCAAGAGAGATCATTCTAAACCTAAAGATAAAGAAAATGGCAAAACTATGAGAATAGGAGGAAAGAAACCAAGTAAAACACACGGTCCACACACAAAATTGCATGTACAGACATGCAGAGGTTCTTACCAGCTGCATAGGACATCAATTTAGAAAATTGAAATACATCACGAACCTTTAACTTCCACCTCAAGACCATTTATTTTTTTTGAATATATTACCATTTATTCAATCAATAACTTTTTCCTTACTGGGGAAAGAAAAAAAAAATCAATAACTTTTGGAGTAAAAGATATTTAGACTCATGCCATCAGGTCCTATTTGCACGAAGTTCCCAGTTAATTGTAGTTCAATGGCTATTTGTGAGCAAGTCATACGTGTAAGGCAAAAAATAGTGTAGACAAATGCCAGGTTCATGAAGATCCCTCAAGAAAATTCTCTCTATAAAATCAGTTGAAACGTGGAAGAATCGTGCAGCTGATTCCAAATAGCAGATATGACTCAAATAACAAGGATGATGAGAAAATGAGGTTTTTATACATTTGAACTTCAAAAACGGCTTGTGTACTTACCCTCCAGTAGCATAGTCGTTGCGGCACAAGTATGCAAGGGCCATAAAATGGGGTATTTGCCAAAAATAGAGGGCAGCTGGGAGAATAAGTCCATTAAGTGAAACCTGACCAGAAGCTGCCACCCACCTAAAAAAGGAAGCAACCGTTAGCATGTCAAATAGACAATATATCAGTTAGCCATAGATGTATGTGCACATGCATGTGCTATAACATGTGCTAAAAAAGTCGTGTTGAGGAAATCCAAAGCAAGAAGCACAGTAATACAATTAAACGGACAAATATCAGATGTAATTAATATAACCTATTGACATTCAAGAACAGAAAAGGTGAATCAGTCCATATTAGTTTTGGTCGGCCTCACTATCTCTTACCTTCTATGCAAACAAATCTTCCCCAGTGCATCAATGGGTCTACGTTCTGTGTCTCCATGTCACATAAATCTATTTGCTCTTAATTTGTCACTAAATAGGCGCTATTCTCTCCATCACACATTGATTTGTATATCTATCTTTTCTAGTTAGAACAGTATAAAAAAACTAAAAGTACAGAAACCCCAATTCTATTAAAACCCAAAGACTACGCATTGGATTGGTTGTGCTAATATACCAAACAAACACCAAATGTATCAATTAATTTACTTGATACCACTAACCAAAAGTGTGGTGCCAATTTCTATAGTGCGGCACAATTTGCAGAAAGGAAAAAAAAATATTCAACGCATTTCCTTTCAAAGGGAGGATTAGGGGAATCAACCCCAACTGTGGAACCCACTTAATATTGTGTGGTAGTTGTGTTTCTATTAGTGAAATTATATCGTTAAAAAGTTACAGACTTAGCAGAAAAATATAAAAACAATGATGACGATGACAACAAAAAAATAAATCCCTAAAAGGATGTGAATGATAGAGAAGAAGAAGATGACAATGATGATAAAGTGGGTACATCTTTCCCCACCTCCTCCTCCTCCTCCTCTTCACTCATTCAGCAATTTCTCAGACATCTGAGATTGGGGCTGATAGAGTACACTAGTTTCGAGAGGATTGGAATCTTTCCTTCTGAAACTTCACAAAATAACATCATTTAGGTTTTCCCTAATACTTTGTCGATTCCCATGAAACCAAAAAGTTTCAGATGTTTTTAACAAGTCAAAGCATTGATTACTGCACACATGACAGCTAAAAATGTCGAGAAATCATGCATAACCAAAGCCATTAATGGGGAAAAAATTCTGAAAGAGAAATAAGACACCAAATCCAAGAATCCAAAGGTGTATCAAAGAAAAAGTTACCCAAGAAGGGGTGGAATAGCACCAACAACAGCTCCAACCCAAGTATTTACTGGATGTATTTGCTTCAACGGAGTATATACAAATGCATATAGAATCAGATTAGAAGCAGCAAGCCCAGCTGCTAACATGTTAGCCTGCAAAAACCTTGCCAGTGATTTTGCAACATTAGTCCCTTGACTCAATAGTAATTAAAAAATGAGAAAGACAACAATTCAAAATATTGGTCGAATGGCTTGCAAGCCTGTGAAATTATCAGGTCACCTCGCATGCCAATAAAGCAGTACCAGCCACACCAACAGAAGATGCCCAGGTGACAGCATGAGGTATGGTAATGCGCCCTGAAGGTAGTGGTCTTTGCATTGTTCTCTTCATCTTTGCATCATTATTTATCTCAAAAACCTAACACATGAGATGTGGCAATTAAAAAGAATTCAGATGCAAAGTCACCTAGCTCAAGGCATCAAGCACAGTATATGGTGTTGGAACACTTGAAAGTAGAAAGAAGGAAAAATTATGCTTGCTCTCTCTTTTCTTCTCCTTTTCAAAATTTAAAATTTTAAACTGAGTCATGTGGCGACAAGACAATTCCAATCGACTCAAGAGAATTTATAACATCAACTGATAAGTCACATGACGTCACAGTGACACATTTAGCTGAAGTATTCAAATTTGGCAGGCATTCCACAAAGACCAGAAAATTCACTTTTTCTCTGACTACTGATATGAGACATGCACTCCTTATAAGCAATATAACTGAGACTGCAAAGGATTTCTTTTTTCTTTTTGCCGGACAAAAGTTCGGAAATCCAGATGCACCACTACTCTGGTTAGAACCAGGCCAAAATGAACCCAGAACTCAAGGTGGGGTGGGTCAACTTACCCATGTAATCGGATCTATTGGCATCCCTATCCTTAGAGGTCTTTATCACTGGTTTGTATTATAAACTTAATGGCAAAGCAAAATCAAGACAATGTTACTAATTTGCAATTGTAATTGCGAAACCGACATGGTGTAAGTTTTAAATAGTTGAAACGAAAATGTAAGAGTTTCTTTTTAAAGAAGTTCTATCTCAAACCTGGTTTAAGGAGTTGGCAGATGCTGCAACCATCATAGTACCAGCACAAGTGCAACAGAGACCAGCAAAATCAATGGCATTGCCACTCCCAAGAACAAATCCGGCCCCAGATGTAGCAACTACTAGCATGCTGCAAATAATGTGTAGGAAAAAAAAAAAAAAAAAAAAAGTGAGATATTAGAGTTCTAGAAAATTTGATTCAGCACATCCACGGCTTACACGGAAAGAAAAGAAGAGGCACCAGACATCCCGAATAAAAATTGACCAAATTCAAAGCATAGCTCACCAGGACCTTTCTTATTCAATTTTGTATCTTAGGTGCTGTTTGGTAAAACTGAAAATTAAGTAATGAAATTTTTAAGTGCTGAAGTTTTAAGTGGTAATTAAAAACTAAATAGTTTTTGGTATCTTTTTCAATTTTTAGTGTTCAGCATTCAGTGATAAGTGATGTCCCTCCCTTAAAATTCTACCCCATTTTAAGTGGGGTTTACCGTATTTAGTAATACTCAAATTGCATTATCAACCGCACTTAATTGGATAAGTGCTTAATCCATTCAGAATTAAGCGCTAAATTGAGTTATTTAATAGCTAGACTCTTAGTAAATATCTATTCTATCTCTTCTTTTAAATTAGTACGTTGCAGGTTACTTTTTATATGTTTTCTTATATTTTAGGAGTTAAAATGATATTTATTGGACATGAAACACACCTTACTCCAACTTTGTGACTCTGCAGACTAAGGCAAAACTTCACACTTGTTGTGTAGCTTTAATTCTATAGCAGTATAGTAACTATAGTTGGAGGCAGTGGTTATTCATTTTGAACTATTTAATTTCATTTCGCTCTCCATCATAGTGAAATATCGGCGACTCTGTAGATGTAGCCCAAGTTTTGGGTGAATTGTGTAAATCTGTGTGATCTTTCTTGTGTTCTTGTTTCTTTTTCTGCTAATTTTTGCAACTTGATGCATGGGTCAAACTTGGGTCAAGTTATTACTTCGGTGGTTCATGCGTAATGTGAGTATAACTTCCGACTAGAAGAGTTGAATTACAAAAATTCCTATCAATTTTAATACTTTCAACGTATCAATCCAACAACTAAAGAGGCCAAAACTCAATAAACCTCACAATATAATCACAAACCAAATGTTCAATCACTTAGAGCATAGAATTCAGTAAATTATCATTTTTCTGAACATCCAAACAGACTCCGAACCGTCAAAACCCTAACCTGAGGTGAGCTTTCAAGAGCTACCAATAACACCTCCCATAATGCCAAATCACTTTCTAGAAAAAGTGATTCCGCACATCTTACACGGGAAGAAAACAGAGCATAAATAATAAAATTGATCAATTTGAAAGCAGAGCTCGCTGGGACCTTTCTTAATAGATTTTGAATCTTAGACAGTTAGTCGATACCTATTCTATTTCTATTTTTAGATTAGTATGTAACAGGTTACTTTTTATATGTTTCCTATATTTAAGGTGTTAAAAGGATATTTGCTAGACATTAATTTCAGCTACGGTGCGTGAGTCATACTGGGGTCAAGTTATTAATTTTGTTCTTCATGTGAATGTGCAAAGTTGAATTACGCAAATACCAATCAATTATAACACGATATTCAGCAGATCAATCCAACAAAAAATAGGCTTCCCAATAAATTTCACAATATAATCACAAACTAACAGTTCAGTCACTTTTTTTATTTTATTTTTATAAGCAGTCCAATCACTTAGAGCATATAATTCAGTAAACTATCATTTTTTTGAACGTCCAAACAGACTCCAAATTGCCAAAACCCTAACCTGAGACGAGCTTTCGAGAGCTCCCAATAACACCGCCCATAATGCCGAGCTAGGTCCACGATATCCTTGGCCTTCGACACCGACGCAACCGACGCCGCCGCCGCGGCGGAGGGCTCAACGAAGGCGGCTGTAGAGGCGAATCCAGCTCGAGTCCGATCCAATCTCTGGAACCCTAATTTCAGTGAATCAGAAGAGGAAGGTGAACTCGCGGAATAGAACCGAGACTGGGTAACTGATCTTTCGGAGACATGGTTAACAGTGAAAATGCCCGAGAGAAGATGAGTAGGTCTAGGGTTGGCATTTGAGGAGGTGACGAGTTTGGAAGAGAAACTCAGTGAGTTTCTCCACATGGCGAGTCAAGGGCAAGTCGGAAGAGAGAGAGTTCGGTCCGTGACGGTGTTGGCGATGAGAGAATGTCAGGGAAGATGAAAATTCAGCTGAGAAATATAGGAAATAAAAAGGAAAATGTCTTCCCTTATCTTGTTATTAATATTATTTTATGTTTTGTTTGACCTTCTAAGATGAAATTTTTCATTTTCATTTTTCAGATAATCATCTAAATAAAAAAATTAAAAATATCAGTTTTACTTTTCCTTAGGATTGGCAATTTCCTTTGACCGGACCGGTTTCGCCCAGTCCTATTCCTAATGGGATAGAATTAGTGGTTCCTAAATGAATTTGGAACGGGTACAATAAAATAATTAAAAATCCCATCCGATTATACATATAACTTTTAATTTTTTTATATATAAAACATATATTTTATATTTTTAAAACTCTTGTTCCTTTACTGAAAGTATTTGTTAATATATTAATATCCACTACTTGATAATTTAAAATTTAGTCCACTTATCTATCATATCCTAATTTGAGAAAATGAAAATTCAGCTGAGAAATATAAGAGATAAAGAAAAATGTCTATCCTTATCTTGTTATTAATATTATTTTATGTTTTCTTTGACTTTCTAAGATGAAATTTTTTTTCTTTTTCTTTTTTCAGATAATCACCTAAATAAAATAAAAAATTTAAAAATATCAGTTTTACTTTTCCTTCCAAGCCAAAGTCAACCAAACGGATTGGGTCGTCCAATTTGGATTTCAAAAAATAGAGAATCAGTGATTTATTTTTGAACTATTAATTTATAAATTTTAATTTGAAATTTGAAATTTAATACTTTATATATATATATATATATATATATATGGCCATGTTATGCGAAAATACATGTATTGCATCTTTATAAATGCTACAAAAGTGCCCTGCATACTATATTACAAACAGAGGTCGCCATTTTTTTTTCTTTTTCTTTTCCACAAGATGATAGTCAAAATAAATTGTGCTCAACCTAAAGAAATGAAAAATGACATTTCTCTAGTTTCATTGCAACTATTTATTCCCTCATAGGCATTTCCCCTTCTTGTTTTATTCTTCACACATCATTCCTCTAACCAAACACCCGAGATCACAAATTTTAAACTTCTGAGTAGCTGCAGTTGTTGCAGTTACTATCTCCATACTTTCCTCCAAACTTGATATGCTTATACAACTTAGCGCATATAATGTAGACCACAAAATCTGCCACTGTCAATGCTGCTAAGAGGAAATAAAACCGATCTAGATGACCCTTGTTTAGGTTTCCGGGAATCCATCCCGGCATTTTATCTTCAGTAGAGATTTTCATGACAATGGTCACTAGCAAGCTGCTGACATAGTTTCCTAGTGAAATGGATGTCATGCAAAGTGCACTGCCAAAGCTCTTCAATCCATCCGGTGCTTGTCCGTTAAAGAACTCCAATTGACCTACGTACATGAAAACCTCTGATGCTCCAATGAGCACATATTGAGGGATCTGCCAAAAGATGCTTAATGAACTCGAGCTTTCACAGCTTGTGCAATCTTTTTGTGCATGTTTGAGCCTGAAATGCTCCACTGTGCCAGCTGCAACCATTGCCATTATAGCGATAACAAGCCCTACTCCCATCCTTTGAAGCTCGGTGAGCCCTCTGGGGCTACCCTTTCTTAGCCTCGCGGCAAAGGGGTCAAGAATGCGCCTATAAATGAAAATGAAGGCTGCAACGCTGAGTATATCGAAGCTAGACATGCTTGCAGCCGGTATGTGGAATCCTGCAACGGTAGTTTTCATGGCGGCGCCTTGTTCCACAAAGAGGGAGGCCATTTGAGTGAAGACTACAGAGTATAGTATAGTGCATAACCAAATTGGGAGTAGCCTTAGTACACATTTCACTTCTTCCACTTGTGTCACAGGACACAGATGCCAAGCACTGTCAACTTTGTCCTTCAAGTCATACTCCTTTGAAGTCATCACAGCTGCTCTATCCAAGAATCTGGTTTAATGAATACCAATTCCAATTAGCATTTTCAAATTACATTTTCTAAATGTTAATTTTTAATGGAAATCAATGTAATTCTAAGGCTAAGGGCTGAACTTACTTAAATCCTTGGGTATGAAGTATTTTCCTTTCTTTTCCATCCCCTTCAAAGAGTTCCTCTCCACTTGGCGGGATCACGACCTTCCATTTTCGGGCTGCAGCAACCACTACTTGGCATAATCTAGAGAGAGGGTTGCCTCTAGGTATGAAATGCCTGTACCTAGGGGTCCCAATGAGAAACAAGACCAGTGCCACGATGGCAGAGCCAGTGGATGCCCAAAAACCAAGTGCCCACTTTCCTTCATCCTCAAAGTAGCCCAATATTGTGTTTGAAAAGAGTGAACCAAGGTTCAAGGCCAAGTAGAAGTAGCTAAAGAAGGCCACCTTTAAGTGCCCTTCTTTAGGGTCCTCCTCATCGAACTGATCTGCCCCAAATGTAGCAATATTAGGTTGGTACCCTCCATTTCCAAGGGCAATCAGGTATATGGACATGTAAAACAGTGTGATCTGCAAAGTCGAGTGGGACCCACACGGAATTTGTTCATCGCCACAGCCTCTAGGCTTGACTAAGAATATGGATGACAGTGACAAAGATATCAAACCCTGGAATTAAACAACATTAATGTAAGCAACAAATTGAACTAATCATATGCATATACTTATAAAAAATGATATTTGAGCCGGTAAGTTAGACCTAAATGTCCTTCTGCTAGTGTTTTAGGTCTAATTTATCAGTTAGAGTAACATTGTTCTGTAGTTATAGCATATTTATGCATGATCTTTGATATTTCGATGCAAAATTGTTATGGTGGAAACTTACAATGACATAGATGAACTGAAAGATGGCACAGGTCTTGTACCGGCCCCAGTAGGAATCGCTAAGGAAGGCACCAAGGAGGGAGAAGATATAAACTGTGCCGGTCCATTTGCTAACACTGTTAGCTGCCTCAGCATTGTCTTGCCCCATCACTCTAGTAAGAAACAGGACCAAGTTCACCCCTACCCCAAAAAATGCCAGTGTAGCAAGCCCTTGATTCACTGATTTGTTTTCCAATCAAATAAAACAAATTATCATTCAAGACAAAGTGACTTCATAAGAATGTTTGATTTAGCAGACAGAAATACACACAGAACAATCATATGAACTTTTGAATTTGGTGCGGAGCTATAACAAGAACTAAGAAGTATGGAAAAATTTAGAAGAAATAACATAGAACTATAGCAAGAACTATAGACACATAATATACATATAGACTTTAATTTTGAATCAATATTGTGAAATTGCATAAGGAGTTCATTAAACATTTATCAGAAGAAATAAGGTTCTTAGGAATTTCTAACTGTACTTCAAAATTAGACTAGCAATAACAACTAATAGTACTAACTAATGAAGCTAACAAATAATTATAAAATTAATCAAAATTGCTTATAATTAAATAGTGAGACTTACCAAGAATGAGAATTCCTGCAAACCATCTTCCAGTTCTTGCACGCACTGCAGGGTGACCTTTATGATCAACAGTTCCATCAAGGGTGCAATCCCCTAGTTCCTTTACTATCTTTTCTTCAATTTTATCCTGAAAATTAAACATAGGGTATGAACTCAAAATAAATAAATAAATAAAGTCCAGAAATTAATTAACCAACCAAAAAACTAAGTGAACAAGAACTGTTGTATTCTTGACAATTTTTACTACCCGATTAAGAGTATAATTAACAAATTAAAGTCGTGTTTGGGCCTTCTTTTTTTTTTTTTTCATCAGCAAGAAATACACCCCCCACTCACACACCACTTTGGTCCTTTGGAGACTTGAAGGCTCACCATCCACTTTGGGAGGTATAGGAAATATCAGTAGACCACAAAACCGCCACAAAGCCGTTAGTTTTGAGTTTAGTCTTAAAAGTCCCTTTCAAAAGAGTGGAATTAACCAAGTGAAGTCTATCCATTCCAATTTTTATCTGTTGATTCATTATAATTCTGGCACTAAGCTAGCAGAATTGTTCTTTATGGGACTTGAACTCTTAACTTTCCACTTAGGCCAGGAGGACGTAACACTTAAACTAATCTCTCGATATGATTTTTGTCTATTTTACTTTATGTATTTATTAATTTTGTATTGACAAATAACATATGCATGAACCTCAATCTTTCACTTTGTGAGCTACAAGACATACTATTTGGTTAAATGGTATAGTTCCATATGTTCGAAGCTTGTTCTAGCCATAATAACTAAAAGTGTATAACTATATCACGAGGTTGTTCTCACTGTAAACTTCAAATCATCTACGGCTTATCCTTGTACCCTTGCAAAATATGAACATGCATAAGGTGATTGTCATGAAAATGATGATTGTTAATTATTATCTGCCCATGCAATCAAATTTCATTTAGAGGTTGGTATTGCATCGATCACTATACACATGCAGAGTACCTAGTTAATTATCATATTAAGCCGCCATTAATATATTGGGCTGCAAAATTGACCTGTTGTTAATGTTATCAAAGCAAATAAGTGACCATTAATATCAAAAACAAAATTGCGTAAGTCATTGAGAATATAGGATAAGTGATCATTCAAATGGAAAGAAATATACTAGTAAAGAAGGAAAGGTGGCAATTTTTGCTCATACGAGGGGAATAAGAAAAGAACTAACCACTTTTACATCATTCAAGGTAGCCATTGATGCTGAAGTTGGAGAGAGAGAGAGAGAGAGAGAGAGAGAGAGGAGAGAGAGGGGGGGTTTTTGAGGTAGAAAGATAGTTAAAAGAGGGGGGTTGTCATGTGTATATATAGAGTGTATAATGGTTGAATGGATGGCTGAGATTATATGGGAAGTGATCATGAGGAAGAAGACCTCAAAGTCCATAAATTGGTGACTAGCTTGGAAGTAGCGTGGCACGGTTGGATACAGAGCTTTGGTGAATGGTGATTGTTAAATGATGAATCTTTCATAGTGGTTGTGATATGGCTGTCTTGACACTGACATTTTGAAACATGCACTTCAGATGGGCTCTTTTTATGTATGCTTTTTTTCATTTTAGGTAGGACCTTTTGATGACTCATGTTTGTTGAGTTGTGTGTGTAGATTATAGGTCACTTGCACTCTCACCAAGTTTCATTTCAAGTGGAATATTTCTATGACATTTAAAATGTATAAGAATATTATTTTTTAATTATTGGACTAACTAACATATTCGTCCCAATAATCAACATTTTTCATGTTTCTTGAGCTAGGAATTGGAATTACAACTAAATATTAGTTTAACTTTGAACTAATTCCCTTTTTTTCTTTTTTTCTTTTTTATGTATTCCAATTCCAAAACATGAATCTCATTCTCTCAAATGCAATATTAGTTTAATTTTAAGTATTCTTTTATATTTAGAGATTGTTACGATAAATATAGCGAAAGTACAAACAAGAATTATGACCGAAAAATAAACTTGTCATACAAAACCCAATATCTGGGTCATGTCCACGGTAAAGATCCAACGATGCGAAAATCAAAATATTACAAGTTTCAGTCCTTACACCTTACCTTTTCTCACTTTCTTTTTTTTTTGCCATTTTCAGTGTTCTCTCATTGTTCACTCCAAACCCTAAACGCACTTTACATATTGGGGTACAAGAGAGTTCTAAATAGGGTCCACCATCTGCTAGAGAAAAATGAGTCAAAATCTCATTCACCGAGTCGCAACGCGATAAAGGCGAAAACAAAATTCAGGCCACAACATCACAGTAACATATCTATTTATAATGATATATATAAACATATATTTAACTGTGGATCCAAAAATATCACCTTTCCTGGCCTAAATGCAGGTTAATGTGAGATAGTGCTAAAGAAAATTATTAAATATGTAGGGTGTTTGAAGGCATCCACAAAGTCCCAAAAGTGGTAGCAAGGCATGGATCATTTTCTTTGAACTTTTAGAAGTGGAAGAGGAGACAAGAAAAAGACATCAATGGAATTTTATCATGTAGAAGGCTACTAAACAAAGTCAGATGCAATGTAGATTTTGTAATTAACAAATAGAGTGACATTTGATCATAAACATACAACTTTTGCTTAGCCATTCCTTCCTTGTAAGGTCTTGGCTCTTTCCTACTTGCTTCTTACTAATACATCAACCAAATCTGCCGCCTTACCATTTTAACTTAATTGACAAGTCTACTAAAAAAAACAGACTTATCATATGATTTTATATGTAGAAATTATCTTCATTGCTGTCAAGAGTTTTGAACATTGACTTGTAGACTTGAGTACTCAGGTCTTTCATTGGAGAAATTATTGACTATTTGTTTTGACCAATCACGCATTGACACGTAAGTCAAAAAAGCGAGATAAAGCTGACATATTTATTTATATGTTAGCACATGATTAGTCCGAGGCAATATAATACTTCCTCAATTAATTGATACATAGTCAGGGAGGGACTAACTGGTGAAGAGCCTCTTGGTGATGCTCAGAACAGTGGCTTGTACAGACTTGAGCCAGGTCTATAATTGAGACATAGAAAGGCAGGGACTAACTGGTGAAGAGTCTCTTGTGATGCTTACTTAGAGTATAATGACAAAGAACTAATTAGTGAAGGAATCTAGTATCTATTCCACTGCACTAGACTGGTCCAATACAAATTTAAATCAGGATGCAACATCACACTGTAAAATTAGGATGCATTATCAATTTAATAATTTTACCTCTGCTATTCAGGACAATACTATTCAGACCTAATAATTTAACAGATTGAAAATTTTAACCGAGAGAATTATATTCCTTGAATGAATTGGATAAGGCCAAATTCTCTCTGTTATGATTTTTGATTTGATTATTAGGTCTGAGAATCATTACTCCGATTTATCTGCAAACAGACTTTATGCAGCGTTGAATTAAATTTGTTGTTGGACTAGTGCCAAACTAGTGAGCCAATTTTTAGGTTTGTGTTTAATGATTTATTTCAAGATAGCCATGACTAAATTATAGTTTATGGACCAGTTGCATGCACACATAATTTTATAGAGTTTATGAAGTTTGAGCGTGAGGGAAAACGACATGGATAAAGGAATCAATGAAAATAGCCATTCCAACTGCAAAATCTGCAGCATCCTTTGATAATTGAATGCTGAAAAAAAATGGGTAGGGGTTACAATCAAGAGATTTGATATTATAACATACTGAGCATATCATAAAAATTAAAAAATTTAGAAGTAATATGTAACACAGCATGGAGTCAATATATATGTTATCTTGACACGTGTTGGATAACCTCCCAACTATGTGTTATCTTGACTAAATGACCCCTACCTAATTTATTGACCCGTAGGACATTTTCATTTTCTTGAATATGTAGCATACAAATCCCATTCTGTATGGTAACTAATTCCCAAATTATTCTACCTGTGCTTCTTCACTTTTCGAATAAAAGGCAGAGAATTCAAAGTCTTTTTTTACTAATAGTTATCTCGACGATCCAAAATAACTTATACAAGAATGGAGTTAATTACACCAAGTTTTTCAGAATGTCTTATTCATTCCACTTCTTTTATTTTTTCGTCTATTTTTTCATCCCTCCAATCAGACCGAAAATAAGTGATATAATGTATATTATACATTATACCAAATTAGTAAGGAATCTCCCTAAGAAGAAAGAAAACAAACACAAGGGAACTGCCTTACTCTAGTCCATATCCAAATCATGTGTCGTTTCATTAAAATAAAATTCTAATCAAATTAATAAACTGCAAACTAAAATAATATAGAAAGCTAAAGAACGATTTAGACATATAGTCATTTAATCAAAGTTGATGTTCTCATTTGTGCAAATTTCAGCCGTCGGTTTAGAAGAATCCAAAAATTGGTAGGCTTAAGACGAGTCTAACTCCAGCTTTCACTTTCCAAGTGAAAGGGAACATGAAAAGCAACAGCTCGTATTCAATTCATGCACAGCTTGGCTTACCTATCGCCTAATAAATATATATAACTATAATGATACATATGTATATATAAATAAGCACCGCTAGATATCTTATAGTGACATATGAAGAGAGTGAGTGCTTATCATCTGGCAGCCACCTCAATTGAGCAAGTTGCATATTTTATTTATCTATTTTTTTCCAAAACATGTTTTTATCTTTTGGTGGTGGAGATAGACCTCAATTGAGCAAGTTGCATATATTATTTATCTATTTTTTTCCAAAACATGTTTTTATCTTTTGGTGGTGGAGATAGACATTGTTTGACCCTCAAATATGGATTCAAAGTAACCTTCCTAAAAATAAAAAAAAAAGAAAAGAAGAAGAAGTTGGGGATTGAAAGTTTTTTTTATGCTATTTTTGGTTGGATGGAAGGATTGAGATACATGGATGAGAAGAAAATGTATGAAATTTTTCATATTTGGTTGAAAGGAAAGGTGTTTGGTTGAAGAGAAAGGAAGAGAGGAATCACCCTTTCCTCATGTTTTTCTATCCGTCCAATTTTGAAGGGAATGAAGGAGAGAAAAAACCAATAACTACATACAATATACAATTTTAATTACATACAATATACAATTTTTAATTTTAACCTTTTTAAATTTTTTTTTTTTTTTTTTCCAAAGTCACCGAAAATATTAATCCACTGAGCTATCGAGATATCTGTAGTAACAACAACAACAATAAAAAAAAATAAATAAATATCTACCTTTTATTATTTATCTATTTTTTCCAAAACATGTTTTTATCTTTTGGTGGTGGCGATAGACATTGTTTGACCCTCAAATAGGGATTGAAAGTAACCTTCCCAGGAAAAAAAAAAAAAAGAAAAAAAGAAAAAAGTGGGGATTGAAAGTTTCTTTAATGTCATGCGTAGGTTTAAGACTTTTGGCAAATTCAATTAATGAAGCCATGTCAAGCGAGAATTCTCGGGTAAGAAAACTAAAACAATATTTATGGGAGACTCAGAACTCTTTACTGAATAGGGATCATTATTCTATGCAATAGTTAAAGTTTAAACTCTCAAACGTGAGGATGTATAGTCTAAGGATGTCAACTAATTTATTTAAACAAATGATATCAAAAGCTAACATTATATCCTAAACATCCTACAAAAACTCTAAACCTTATATGCGAATATTCAATTCTTTGGTGTCTCTTCTCAATGAAACGACCAAATTGTCCCTTCTCAATGGAAATTGCAAACATTTAGGCGCCTTAGGTTAAATATTTTTTTAAAAAAAAAGATTTTTATTTTTCAAGTAAAATATATTTTTTTAATTTTATTTTTTTGGTATTTAGTAAATGTGTAGGTCGAGATTGAGGTCGAATTTATCAGGTAAGGCATATAAAATATCTTACCAAAAATTAATAGACAATTTTTTTTGTTAGGTATTTTTTTTTTTTCTTCATAAATATTTTATGACAACCTAACACAAAAAAAATAAAAATATATATTTTAAAAATATTTTACATCCAAATAAAATTTTAGAATTTTATTATTTTATATTTCTTCTGTCTCAAGATAGTTAGGTATTTTAGAACTTGTGACCCTTAAAAATACCTAACTATTTTGGATGGTTATATAAATATATTGTAATGATTGGTCTTTTAAAATATCTCATAATTTTTTTACCCATGAATAATTATTTTGAACTTTCACCTTCAAAATATAATGTGATAAGTCTTTGCCACATTGGAGTTCAAACATGAAACATCTGGTACCTAACCCAACCACTTTTTTTGACCCCACAGAGACACATTTGACATTTCTTCCATGACGCTTCCGGTCTGTCCCTTCTGTGATAA